AAAAAAAAAACAAGGATTGTATGATTATATGTTTTATTTGAGTAGAAGATAAAATTTGTGAAAAAATTAGAGTAACATTTCAAAATATTGATAAAATGATTCATCTCAAAATCATATGTAGTATATTAATAAACTAACAAGTTTACAATATATCTTTAATGAAAATTAAAATGAAACATAATAGATTTAAGAATTAATTGAAACTATTCAGTCATTTAATAGAATAAATTCCTTATTGTAATTATATTAATAAACAAATTTTAAATTTCCAATACAAGCATTACTGATAATTCGAAATATTTAGTCCTTTTCCATCAAATATTCAAAACATTTACAAATGACGCATTCCTTTTTACATTTCCATATAACTGATAAAATTGAGACAAAAAAAAAAAGAAAAAAAATTTTCCACATTTTGATCAAAACCATTCAGTCAATACATTTTAAAAATTAGTACTAAATTTTGTTCAAAAAAGAATTAGAAAAAAAAAATTGCATACTATTGACAGTTGACAACTGATGACAACAATTGACAACTATGCATGTATTCATGTATTAACATAACCTCAGATAAAATATGAATACAATTATTTACTATGATAAAAGTCGTTACAAAAAAAAAAAATAAAAAAAAAATGTGTGATTAGATCAAATGTATTTTTAGAAAAAGTATATTTTTCTGCGCAGTTTTAATGAAAATAATTTCGGATATCAAAAATGATATCAATTAGTGTCGCAATTTTAATTAATTTACAAATAAATCACTTCAAATTTCTGGCCAAACTTTAAACATTCCCATTCGATTATGATGGATTAAATGAATCATTTATTTTCAATTGTTGATCTCATAATTGAACAATGGTGACAGAAATTTATGTCATCTATGTTGTACGGATAGCTACATCATACTATTACAATGATAAATGCATAGCATTTACGTTAAACAGGTTAATGAACATCAAATTATCTAAAATTCAATAAGATAAAAGTTTTTGTTCAAACTACCATAGAATAAGCAATATAACGGATTGTTTACACTTTTGAAATTCTTACATTACTATTTGACCTTTTGAAATTCTTCAACAGTTTAGTTTATGCATTCTCATATAGCATTCAATTAGGAAAATAAAAAAAAAGTTACATATGAACTAAGAATAAACTAATGATAAAAATGTAATAGTATGAGACATGAAAGTATTGAGAAAGTAATGTATGTTAGATTTAAATGACCAGAATAACCGATATTGGCAATTTCAATTTTAGGTTTTCCAGTCATTTGATTGTTGATAACTGTTGCTTCGGATTGTTCAACAGGTTCATAATCAAAATTCATCAACGTATTACTTGTTTCTGTAACTCTTACCGATGTTGATGCTTGCACGGTAAAATCTTTTTCTGGTTCCAATTCATGGCTTCGGAATAGTTTAGAGAGTGGCTTACAGGTAGGACAATCACAACTGAGCATTGTACGACGCGAACAACTTCCTTCATGCAGTAACTTTTCTGCATTTTGTAAAGTTAAGGCGAAATCATTATGTGACAAGCATCGTACCTCAAAAAAAAAAACATGTAATTAAAAATAAAAACTACGTGCCAAAACTTTGGGAATTCATTTATTCATTTATTTATTTATTTTTCCAAATAATAAAATACATATTGAAAAAAAAAAGCACGAATGTTTTTTTTTCTTCCTCAGAACTTATTAGTAATTAATTTATATTTGCATTGAAATTTAAATACGTAAACTAAAATTTAAAAATTTTAAAACTTTTTTTCTTTTGCATATATATTATTGAATCATTTAACACTTATTGAAAATATTATATGTATGGAATGTAATCATCTAAAAAGCCTTATGGAACATAAAATTAGTTTGTAAAATTGTTTTTTCTTTTCGAAGTGGGTCATACATGACTGCAATTGGTCCATTTGGGAAAGTTTTTTTCTTTTCAAATTTCAATGGAACTGAAATTTATTTCAAGTGGTTCACGATGTTGTAAATTTAGGATGAAAGATGTCCTTTTTGGATCTCATAATGAATTTTGCGATTTA